TTTGAGATGTGCTCATATCCTGCAGTTTTAAAATGCCAAAGGTTCAGCTCGGATGTGGCAATATCTACTTTGGTCATTTTACTGTGAAGCTCAGAATGATTATTTTAGCTTACAGCATGTGGCCGCAGTAGTTTAGTTTTTTTTTTCTTCTGCCATTTATAAGGTGAATTTCTTGCGGTCTTATTTTAGAACTATTTATATACTTTTATAATATTTATTAATATTTTGAATTACCTTTTTTATATTTTTAGTTTTCATTTTAATTTCAGTTTAAGGCTTTTGTCTTTTTTATTAGTTTTTTTTACATTTCTATTTCTATTTTCAGTTTATTTTTATTTCAGTTTTCGTTTTAGTAATTGTAGTTTTTAACTTATTTCAGTTTGTTGCCATGGAAACATGCCTCATTTTAATTTGAGTGTTTCATATAATATTTATATTTTATTTCAGTGAACAAAAATGATTTATAATAGCTTTAGGTAACAATAACAACACGGGAATTTCTTAAAACCTGACTTTTCTAGGACTTTTCATATTTCATAAATAATTTTCTATAATTATGTAGTTTTATTTATAGTGGTTATGTTAATAATCAATTTTTTTATATATTGCAAAATAAAATTACAGTACACCTCTTGTGGAACCATATTTTTTTCCCATGACAGTTGAGCACATTTCCTCTGATTCACCAGTTCTTATTTCTGAAATAAAAATTGCATTCTCATTAATGTTCTGCAAATAAAAAGAAAGAAAAAAGAATTATATTTTTTCCTCATGGTAGAATTTGCCTTTAATTATACTGCTTTAATAAGAAACAATAGTTATAATACTTTTTACTGTTTTACACAAATTAGAAAAATAGATACAATTATTGGGAATGACAAAAAAGTGTGGGTCACAATCATAAATGGCCCTAAATCTGGTTTCATTTATTCAATTGGTTACCTTTTATTTATGTAGAAATATTCTTTTTTTATTTTAATAATTAACTGAATAATTTCTTACTTTTTACCTTTGATGTTACAGTGAAATATGATCTGTTCTTGTGAGATTTCTCCTTATAAGTCAGCTACACTTTATGTATGTATGTGTTTTTATGTTCACAGATCATATGCAATGACTGCCAGGCTCACTGCACTGTCTCCTTCCACGTGTTGGGCATGAAATGCAGCTCCTGTGGCTCTTACAACACTGCGCAGGACGGCGGGCTGATCGCGGCCCCTGCTGTAAACACATGACCGTCTGAGGAGCAGCCGCTTGGAGAAGAGCCCGACACGGAGCACCACGAGTGACGTTTAGGCTCAGAAATCCTCTCTCAGTTAAGCTTTTATAGAACTGATATATAGAAATACAAGCTCTCCTCTCACATTTCTGTACAAATACTTTTATTTTTCTTGCTTGATTAAAAAGGATAAGAGCATATTTGAGGCTTCTTTAAATTTCTGTCATGGAAACTAACTGTGCAGAGTCAGGGGTGTTAGATTCACAACTTATATATTTCTTGACTTCCACATTAATTTTGTCGTGAAGAATGTTAAAGATAATCCTGTGCTGAGAGAATAATCAATCTGCTTTGTTGACTGAGTCCTCAATATCTATCAAGAGCATTTTTGGTTTATATTAAGGAAAAGTATCCTTAATATAATGTATCAGCATGGACCCTGATATTCATACAGGGCCAGTGGACATCATTGCCAAACTTTTGTTCATTTTAAAATGATTTAGTGCTATTTATTGATTAATGCTGGACAAGAAACAAATATTGTATTACAGCAATAAAATAAAATGATCACATTGCATATCGTTTTTTTATAATCTTATTTAAAAAAAAAAAAAATTTGGTTCTTATTTTCTCAATGGCTCTCTAAGCTTGTCTTCTAGATGGAATCTCGTCCTCTGTAATTCTTTCTTCTTTTTAATGAATTGAGTATGATTCCAGAAATGTATGATATTTCTAAAGGCCCGTTCACACCAAGAATAAGTATAAAGATAACTATATTAGCGTC